ATTTAAAGAGTGTATCATGTGAAATGCTGAGCTGGATGAATCACCAGCTGGAATCAAGATTGCCGGGAGAAACATCAATAACCTCAGATACGAAGATGATGCCACTCTTAACATCAGAAAGTGAAGAGGAAGTAAAGAGCTTCTTGATGATGGTGAATGAGCAGAGTGAAAAAGCTGGCTTAAATTCTACATTCAAAAAACTAAATAAGATTATGGTATCCAGTCCCATCACTTCATGGCAAATAGAAGGGCAAAAAGTAGAAACATTAACAGACTTCATTTTCCTGGGCTCCAAAATCACTGTGGACAGTAATTGTAGCCATGAAATTAAAAGATGATTGCTCCTTGGAAGGTAAGCTATGACAAACCTAGGCAGTGTATTAAAAAGCAAAGATCAGTTTGCTGACAAAGGTACATATAATCAAAAATATGGTTTTTCCAGGAGTCATGTATGGATGTGAGAGCTGGATCCTAAAGAAGGTTGAACACCAAAAAATTGAATGCTGAGTACTTTAGAATTATGGTGGTGCTGCAGAAGACTTCTGAGAGTCCCTTGGGATGCAAGGAGATCAAACCAGTCAGTCCTAAAGGAAACCAGTCCTGAATATTCACTGGAAGAAATGATGCTGGAGCTGAAGCTACAATACTTTGGCCACCCGAAGAGCAGACTCATTGGAAAACATCCTGATGCTGGGAAAGATTGAAGGCAAGATGAGAAGGGGGTGGCAGAGGATGAGATGGTTATATAGCATCACTGAATCAATGGACAGGGGTCCATTTGAGAAAATTTAGGAAATAGTGATTTTGAGAAAACTCCGGAAGATAGTGAAGGACAGACAAGCCTGGTGTACTGCTGTCCATGGGGTCACAAAGAGTCAGACAGGACTTAGCAACTGAACAAGAGAAAATCAAAATCTAAACGCAAAAGACAAAACAATAATCTTTCTAAAAGAGAATCTAAAACAGAAGAACATCTCCATAACGTTCAGAAAGGAAAAGATTTTTTTGAGCAGGATACAGAAAGCACGTACAATTTTTTTTTTAAAAGACCAATACATTAGACAACACAGAGAACTTTTGTTCATGAAAAGATACAATCAGGAGAGTGAAAATACAACCACAGAGTTGGAAGAGATAGTTTCACATGCTGAAGATAAAAGAAATTCCAATAAATCAACAGTAATAATGAAATAAAATGGAGAACCCAATAGAAAGATCAGGAAAGAATTCTGAATAGGCACTTGACAAAACAGTATATATAAATAACCAATAAACTATGCAGTAACCTCAGCAGTAACAACAGTAAAAGGCATTTAAATAAGCCTGTTTAAAATTAGAGATTAACCATATTTACTGTTGGCAAAGATGAAGAGCAAAAGGAATTCTTATTATATGCTATTGGTGGGAACGTACGCTGTTACACTTTGGAAAAGTACTTGGCACTATCTCTAAAATAAACAAATACATATCCTATGACAGAAAGTTTACTTCTAAACATAAATATACTGAAAGTCATGTAAAGTATGTTCTTCAAATTGGAAATCAAATTTAAAATTTTCATCAGCAGTAGAACAGATCCATCAGCTGTGGTTTATTCACACAATCAAGCAGTGAAAATAAAAACAATATAGTGGCACCCAACATGGATGCGTTCCACAAATGTAAGATTTTGTTCAGCAAATGATATAAAATTTAAAAATAAACAAAAGACCATTTAATATGACTCACTGCATATAATGTTCAAAAACAAAAAAACTAAAGTGGTTAGAAAAATAAGATGATGGAAATCAGGATAAAGCAGCTTCGGGGAAGTCCTTAATGCCTGATATTTCTTGATCTTTGTGACTGTTACATGAACAAATTCACTTTGTGATAATTTACTGAGATATACTCAGTGTTTTGTACTTTTCCTTTATGCTTTGTACATCAATGGGGGAAAAAAGTTTAATGCTAGATGGAATAAGAAGGTTAACATATATCTAAGCAGAATTCCTGAATAAAAAAAATACAGAGAATGGTAAAGAACTAAAAACTTATTATCTATAAATTTCCCTCATTTTTCAAGATTCCAATTTTTCAGACTAAGAAAACATATAAATTCCAAGAAAAATCAAAAGGAAATCCATACCTCGATACATTGTTGTGACATCAATGAAGGAAAAACAAAAAAAAAAAACACACAAAGAAAAACAGAATTAAATTCAGTCAAGGAAGAGATAACTTAAATACAAAGGTATCACAATTAAACTGTTGATTGACTGCTCAACTTCAAAAGTAAAGTCAGAATACAGTGGAATATCACCTGAAATAGAGTAACTGTCAAACTAGAAGCCTGTATCTAGTAAGACTACCTCTGAAGAACTGACATAAAAAAGGTATTTTCTAGAAAAGGATGAAAAGGGAAGAAGTGAATGGTATAAAAGGAAAATAGGACTAAAATTGTTTTATATCTGCAAACTCTGACTTAAAGGAACTGGTAAAGAATGTACTTTAGCTCTGGAGCACTAGCACAATGGCATCTGGCTGCAAAATTGGCCCGTGCATCCACAACAGTGACCTGGCCAGTTTAGGGGCCAAGTACCTCCAGGTGTTGGACTCTGAGGCTTATTATCTGCACCTGGATGTCATAGATGGGCACTTTGTTCCCAACATCACCTTTGGTCACCCTGTGGTAGAAAGCCTCCAAAAGCAGCTAGGCCCAGACCCTTCCTCTGACATGCACATGATGGTGTCCAGGCCCGAACAGTGGGTAAAAACCAATGGCTGCAGCAGGAGCCAATCAACATACCTTTCATCTGGAGGCTACTGACAACCCAGGAGCTTTGACCAAAGACATCCAAGAGAATGGAGTGAAGGCTGGCCTTGCTATCAAACCAGGAACTACAGTTGAGTATTTGACACCATGAGCTAATCAATCAGATAGATACGGCCTTGGTTATGACAGTGAAACATGGGCTTGTAGGGCAGAAACTCATGAAAGATGTGATGCCAAAGGTTCACTGGCTGAGGACCCAGCTCCCACCTTTGGACACTGAGGTTGACGGTGGAGGAGGTCCAGACGCCACCCGTAAATGTGCAGAGGCAGGAGCTAACAGAGTTGTGTCCGGCAGTGCCATTATGAAAAGTGAAGACTCCAGATCTGTGATCAACCTGCTAAGAAATGTTTGCTCAGAAGCTGCTCAGAAATGTTTTCTTTATCGATGAATTCACAAGGAGCCCAAGGCTCCTGCTTATGAGATCTTTACTAGAAAACGAGAATACTGACTACCAAATCATACCACAGTTGAGGCAATGCTGCTTTTCTGAGAAATCAGTCATTCCAATCACTAAAATCCATCATGCAGAGTGCTGCAAGAGGCTGAAAATTGTTGTGTATAACTACATTTTTAGTGATGGAATTGAGAGATTAGTGTGGTAAAATATCATTTTTACTGGGAGACTGGATTTTCATAAAGAGTAAAAATATGGATGCATTAAGGTTACAAGCAGAAAAAAGTGTGTTAATGCCTAAAGAAGGCATGTTAGCTACTATGAAAGAAAATTTTTTTCTGAATTTCTAAAATGAACTGTCTTCGGTTTCTTCGTTGTTTTCTGAAAGCAAAAGAAGTTCTTCAGTTTTTCCTGTTTCATGTCATTTTTGATTTGTGTACGTGTGTGATAACTAAGTTTGTATCTGACTAGGAATAGCATACTTACTCTCCTAGCTTCAAAAACATTTGTTTTTCATTTTGCACCTTATATTTGATACATTAAAAAAAAACTGTATAATAATAATAAAAAAAAATGTGCTTTAGGTACCAAATGACCCCACACAGAAAACCTGTAACAGAAAAGGCAAAAGTACAAGCAAAAATGTAGGTAAATCTAATAATAATAGTAAATACTAATAAAATAATAATAATATTTTTGATTCAGAAGAAGATAGACTACACCTACACTGTGAACAATATAAGCATATAAAATTAGACAAGGGATGGAAAGATTATAATGAGCTAAGGTATATGCTCAGGAGAAAGGCAAAGGTACTTATTGACTGTAGACTTTGTTAATTACTCTGTAAAATACGGATGCCTATCTTCCTTGCAATAGCAGAATCAAAACGGGCCAAAGGCAAACTTTCAAGAAATTCAAAAGGATGCCAAAAAGAGGATGGGGAAATCAATAACAAAATATTTTCAAATAAAAAACTTATAATAAGATATATAAATAATCCAAATATATCAGCACTCACAAACATGAATTGACTGAAATCTCCAGTTAAAAGCCAAATTTGTGAGAAATAGATTTAAAAAAAAAAAATCCAGCTACAGAATACTATTTTTGTAAGGATGTATCATAACATGAGGGTACAGAAGAACTGAAATTCAAGTAATGAAAAAAATATACCATGTCAGCACCATATGAGAAAACAATGAATCATTTGATACAAAGAAAATGAAATGACAAGATTACAAAAGAGCTTTCTGAAGAGTAAGCAGTTTTTCTGAACCAAAGCAATATAACTGAGTCTCAGCTTCATTTCACCTCATTTTAATTCAGCTCAGGGCTTGTGCTAATATTAATAACCTTTAGGAATCAGATTCCTTTGTCTAAGTGTACTAGCATCTCTTCTGACATTTTGATAACCATGCCAGCAACGACTTCATATAAAACAGTGAGAAAGTGGTAATGAGATTAAAGCCTAGTATAGAGCCCTATAGCACAATAAAGAAGCATCTTTAAAGTCTGATATCTGTTTTCTTATAGTTGCTCAAGGAATTACAAACCCCATTACTATTATTCACATCTTATCCCTTAACTTTATTCACAAGCCTATCAAGGTACAGTTTCTCAAAAACTGAAATCTAGACATTTTGTCAATAATAACTTTACTTATTTATGCATGAATATGTACATACACACATCTATCTACACATACATACACACTTACACAAAACACATACACTTATATATGTATATATATATATATCTCATATAGATAAATCATAGTAATACTGTACCTCATAGGTAGTTCCATAATGGCATGTAAATTGGCACTGTCTGTTAGTTTCTGCATCTTGCTCAACATTGGTATAAAATATTACTCCATCTCCAGAGCAGGATACAATCTGCTTATCATTTGTGCATGGTAAGAACTTTGCACTAAATATATTTGCTCGGTGCCCTGAACGAATTGTTGTCAAAACCTAAAACACAGAGAGGAGTTTTTAGTAATTTATTACTAAATTACTAAAGAGTAAATTTATTACTAATTACTAAATTACTAAGAGTAATTTTTAGCAATTTATTATTTCCTAAGAAGAAGCATTCAAATTCAAACTTAATATAATCCTAGCCAGGAATAAATTCTCATTAACACTCTCAGCTCAAATGAAAAATTATCATTTGATTCCAAGCTATTGGGTTGGCTAAAAAGTTTGTTCAAGTTTTTGTGTAACATGGAAAATCCCAAATGAACTTTTTGGCTAACCCAGTATTATAATCAGAAGAAAAAAAATCGGAATCTCACATATTTTATTTCCCTCTGAGATGTAAAGAAGATTAAGTATATCAACAGGAATAGTGCTGAAACAGAGTCCCCCTAAAACTAAGTTCCTCTGAAGAGTTTATGATTAACTTCTCTATCCAAATTTTATTTCCTGTCTACTCCAATATCTGTTTCTCTCATTACTGAGGAGAATCAAAGAAAATGAGACTGAGACCAAGCAGGAACCTGTGAGGCCATCCCAGGCATAAAAGTCTTTCAGTGTCTTCCGTCTCTTGTTTGTAGGAAAACAGCTTTCAGCCTCCTAGACCTTCCCTGAGTTCCAAAAGGCAGATTCAGTTACTAATTAGAAGACAGGAAATGTAGAATGGGTTCTGGTTCTTTGCAGGGGAGTAGAAGGGGTTGTGCATGACCGTTTGATATACATCTGAGTTCTACAAGAACTTAAGGCCCCTAGCCAGAAGGAGGATGGTAACTTTAGGCTGAGCATCTGGACCACAGGCTGGAGATTCCTAGAACAATGTTACCTCACCACCAGCCAATCAGAGGGGGGTTACACACCTGGCAGCCCTCCCCCCAAATTCTACTTGTAAAAATTTCTTCCCTGAAAACCATGGGGAGTTTGGGTCTCTTAAGCAGGAGCCTACCTGTTCTTCTTGCATGATCCTTGCAATAAACCTTGCTCTGCTCCAAATTCTAAAATTTTGGTTTGTCTGGCCTCATTGTGCATCAGGCACACAAACGGGTTTTGCAACAGTGCCTATTTGGTATATGTGACTCATTCATAAACTCATAGTAAATATGAAAAGACTATCTTGGTTGACTTTTGAAATTGTTTCCTAAATGATTATTAAGTCATTCCCTTTCAGGATGAAAAAATAAAAACAAACTGAATCTCAAAGAAGCATAAAAGTAAAGCAATAAAATGGTACAGAAGTTCCCACTTCTGTAAAGAATAAAGAAGTTCCTACACCTAAATCCTTAATAATTTAAAAGATCAGAATTCCTGTGACAGAAGTATGGTTTAAAATAAACATTGCAATATTTGTAACATACATAGCAGATAAAAGACCAAATCCCCCTACAGTGCTTAAAAATTGAGAGGAAAAAAAAAGGGCAAAAGATCTGAATATAGTCCAAAGATAAACAAATGGGCCTTAAAATTTTGAAAAAGCATCAAGTTCATATAGGAAATGCAAATTGAAACTACACTGAGATCACCGATTTCCACTTTTTAGATTAGCAAAAATTGAAAAGCTTGACAGCATACTGTATAAGTGAGTGTGGTGGGGAGGGGGACACCAGGCTCTTTAAACAAAGCTGGCGGGATGCTAAATGGTGCGAGACCAATAGAAAGGAATTTAGCAATCCCTCACAAAACTACATATGCAGTAACTCTTTGATCAGACAAGTCTATTTCTAAGAATTTACTCTGAAGGTATATACATCCAACAATATATATACTTAAAAAAAAGCAGTTATTTACTGAGTCATTCACGATAGCAAACAAAACACAGGAGACTGGCTGAATAAATTCCAGTACATCCCGACAATGTATATACAATGGAGATTTAGCGCAATGAAAGTATCTGTTGTGGTTTTGTATTTTAAAATATGCTTGAAAAAAAGGGAGAGTATGTCAAAACAGAAACACAAAGTTTCTTTAGTTCACTTTAAATGTCTTACTGAATAAAACTAACATACTACTGTAAATCAACTATACTCCAATAAAATTTTTTAAATAAATAAAAGAACAAAACAAAAAATGTTTTACTGAACAAACTGGAGCAATTTGAGGAAATGCTCATATTTACCAAATAATGTCAATTAGTAAATGTGGGAGAAATGATAGAATTAAAAAACACTATTTGTAATGACATTATAACAACTGATTAAGGCAAGAATCAATAAATATTGAAACCACTTTATGAAAGATAGCTATGAAAAAGAGTATTTACACAATCTCCTTAGATAAAATCACAAAGGGTAAATATACCCTCACAATGGAAAGATCGAATTTAACATCACCAGTTAGGGAACAAATTAATATCATGCACCACAACATCATCCATAGAGAATTCTTAGCAAAAATGTTTACTTTTAATCAACTCATGAAGAAACAATCGGACAAATCCAAATGGAGGGACATTCTATATTGACTTGATAGTCAATATAACAATAAAACAACATATCAATATCATGAAAGACCAAGAAGTTGCATGAACTATTCTACAGCAGACAAAGGAAATATGACAACTAAATGAAATGTGTGATGCTGCACTGGGGGCTAGATTAAGAGACGCAAGGCAGTGCTAAAGAACATTGCTAAAACAAATGGGAAAATCTGAATATATACAGGTATATATGTACATGTACTACGTGTGGATATATATAATATACTATAGATACATGGTAATATATATTTAATATGCTGGTTTAGTCAATAAGTCGTGTCCATCTCTTGTGATCCCATGGACTACAGCCTGCCAGGCTCCTCTGTCCATGGGATTGTCCAGGCAAGAACACTGGAGTGGGCTGCCATTTCCTTCTCCAGGGGATCTTCCCAATGCAGGAATCAAGCCTGGGTCTCCTGCACTGCAGGCAGATTCTTTCCCAACTGAGATATAAGGGAAGCTACATAATATACTACAGATACTATGTATACTATAGATATGACAGGCATATACTAGGATATGCCTGCATAACACTGAAGAGAGGGTGTTACATTCAACAGTCACTGCAGTCGCCCCAAATGGTTAACCCGGAGGGGAACTTAGAACCGCGATAAATAGGCTGCCAGTCATCAAGCCATCAGTCTCTGCAGACACCCCCAATGGTGTACCCTGAGGGGATTCAGGATGGAGGAAAAAAAGAACCTTAGATAGTTAAGGGACAGGACAAAGGAACAATTTCATTAAGCCCAGATTCTATTATCTTCCCCAAGAAAAGAAAAAATTTATCTTCCTAAATTTATTACCCTGAGATGTTTGGGTTTTCTAAAATTATCATTAATCTTTTGATGTTCTGATTACCTGGAGTTTTGTGAGTTGTTTTTTTCTTTTGCAGAAACTTTTATACTTATCCTGGCTCCCCTTCACCTCTTCAGAACAGCCCTTCAGAGCTATCTGAGAGGCTGTCTCCCTGGCTTAAGTCCTCAGTATGTCCACTGAATAAAACACAATTCTCAACACTTAGGATGTACATTTTTTTAGTTGACAGTACAAAACCATATACATTATATATATAGCATACAGGCAATTCTCATTACTACTGATAGTTGTGTTCTATAAAGTCACCACTAAGATGACATTGTTTTTAATCAATAAGTTGTGTCTGACTCTTTTGCGACTCCATGGACTATAGCCCATTGGGCTCCTCTGTCCAAGGGAATACCCAGGCCAAACACTGGCGTGGGCTGCCATTTCCTTCTCCAAGGGATCTTTCCAACCCAGTTACCGAACATGTCCTGAACTGGCCTGTGGATTCTTTACCACTGAGCCACCAAGGGAGTCCTGACACTGCCTTAGCAAGTGCTGTGTCCACTAGCAGCTGCTCCCATGGACATACAGGGTTAGGTTTCTGTGAGGCTCTGGTCGCAGACTTTTCATCAACAAATCAATAAGTAACTCTGTTGTTTGTGTTTGTTTAAAGACACTTTATTTAATACATAATGTTGACTCATTAACAGTGAACTTAGGGCAAAGAGTACTACAATTCATATCTAAATATTCATTGGAAGGACTGATGCCAAAGGTGAAGCTACAACACGTTAGCCACTTGATGTGAAGAAATGAGTTATTAGAAAAGACCTTGATGCTGAGAAAGACTGAAGGCAAAAAGAAAAGGGGGAGGCAGAGGATGAGATAGTGTCACTGACTCAATGAACATGAATCTGAGAGAATTACGGGAGATAATGAAGAACCGGTGAGCCTGGCAGGCTGCAGTCCATGGGGTCACAGAGTTGGACACGACTGAGCGACTGGACAACAAGCAGTAACAAATGAAGCTCATCTAACATATTTTCTCTATAAAGTATGTTCCAGGCTTCTTATACCTAGGAAGACTAGACGGCACTCAGCAAGATAACTGGGGGCCCTTTTAACCATTGAAGTCACCAACAAAAAGCACAAAAATGCAAAATGAGTGACGGTCAATACATCACAAAAAGGATGCAGTATGCTTACAGTATTCAAGGTGAAACAAGAAGTATCAAGCAGCACCTTGTTTGATCTCATCTGAGAACATGTGTACTGATGTATTAGTTATGCAATTCAAATTCTTTGCCACTCTGTACATGTGAATGGCCATCAATGACCAGAAAAGCACTGCAAGTTATTGACATGGAAGGGTAAAAGTAAATTTAATGAGTTCGTAAATTTGCAAACAGAATCTGTAAGTAGAGAGGATCAACCCTATACTCAATATGACACGTCCTGGCCATGGTAACTGCACTACAGTTACACAGGATGACATTCCTATTCTTAGCAGACAGACGTCAGAGTATTCATGAATGCAGGACACCTCCAAGTTATGCTGAAATACTGTTTTCAAAAGTCTATTTCTGGATGTTGATTGTATTAACTTTTTAACTGATCAATCAGTTTTCAAATTTAAAAAAAAATTAGGAAAAGATACATCAACTTTATTTTTGGTTTGGTTTCAAGTAACTATTTACAATATAAGACTAATTGACAAATTCAC